GGAGGTTGGCGATTCGTGGTCAGCGAAAAATTTGGAGTCACGACCTTCAGCCAAATGTCAAAAATGGCGTACAGAACAGTGCATAGCTATGAGCCCCCCACCGAATGCATTATATCATGTTTCCGCCTCCCGCAGCCACCTACAGAAAAGGGCTACAGGCTGCCACTGGTTGTCAGCCAACTGCCGCGAAACTGCTCCGAACGCTGAGTCAGATGCATTAGCAGCAATATTCAAAGGGGCATTGGGATCGTGATGCATATGCATGGTTGTGTTCGAGATGGCTTCCTTGACCTTAGCTAAAGCAAGCCCAGCCACGTTGTCCAGGGTCACGAACTAGGTAGTCCCTCGAAGTTGATCTATGAGTGGTCTCACAACAGGGGTATAGTTGGGAATAGATCCTCGGTAACAACTCACCGGGCCACTGAAAGTGCGTAGCTTCTTCACAGTGGTCGATTCTGAATAGTTCATGATAGCCACCACTTTATCTCTCAACGGGCGTATACCTTCGTTGTCAGCAGCATGCTCAAGAAAGTTCAGTGATTCAACTCATTTTCACACTTGTGTACGTTGGCCGTGATGCCGTGCTTTCTCAGTCTGCTGAATGCGAGGCCCGAATGTTTAAGGTGAGTTTCCTTATCTGAACTCGCAATGAGACAGTCGTTGGTGTAGACATGGACAAAATCCAAACCACGGAAGACATCATCCATAAAACGTTGGAACGCTTGTGCTGCATTCCGAAGGCAAAAAGGCATGCGCAAGAATTCAAACAAGCCAAAAGGAGTGACAATGGCTGTTTCCGTAATATCTTCTGCTACCGTATGTATCTGATTGCACACTGACCAAACTGACTCCGGGGGGGCATGTTCATTCTGCATAATTTCGACGTCAAATAGTGGATATGAGGTGGCGAATAGCAATCTTATATTGCTTTCTCATTAAGCCTGCGGTAATCGCCTGCCTGTAACCACTCGTTGTTATCCGTTTTGGGGACCATGTGCAGTGGTGATGCCCAGAGACTGTTTGGCGGTTTGGTAATGCCTAGCTGGGACATGTGGTTGAATTCGATTTCCTCCGTTCTGAGCTTATCGGAAGCTGGACGACGGGCTTTAAATGCCACAGGTAGGCCTGTGGTTGTGGTGTGATGAATAACATTGCTGGTTATGCACGGCAGTGTCGATTGTCTTAACTCTAGAGATTTTTATAAAACTCCATGGTATGATGCGTGGCCTCAGTGTTTAGTCCCAACTATGGCTAAAACTGGACCTAAGTAGGTGGTGCCGCCGACGGAAAACTTCGTGTCGTTATCTGTAAGTCGTTTTCTACGAGCATCTACGGGTAGACCTTAATGGCCCGGCAAATCTCTGCCAACTATGGGCATAGAAGCACCAACCAGAAGAAAAATTTAGTAGATAGGTTGGCGCAAACCTAAGTTGAGGTAAGCATACCGCCTCCCAAATGCCGCTATCGCCTTGCCGTTAGCTGCTTGAAGATTGAAGGATGGGTCATGACGACGCTACTCGAAAAAGGCCGTTGCCGAACGCCCGTGGGTCTATAACTTCTCGCATGCGTGCGAGCACATCAGTAACTGATTGGTTCCCTAGGCCGATGATACGACGCAAGTCGTCCAAGCGCCGACTATCTGTGAGATCGCCTTTCCTCAGAAGTGCAGCCTTAAGAAGTGCACAGGGATCACCTACTTCATGAATAAAAAGTATGCGCTGTAATGAGTCTGCTTAATTCTCGTGGTGATTAGCTTATGATAGTAAGAATCCGCAAATGCGGATCTGTGGCCCCCTGTTCCCGAAAATCTGTCTTGTCACACAGAAAACATGTTTCTGCATTTCCTGACCAATGTGGCACCAGCTGGAAGTGTTCATTCCTGGTTTAATGCAGATAAGTTCCGGAATATTGTCGGACATAGAATAGAGTCATATACGGTTATATAAAGGTCATCAAAATGAAAACGTACAAGTGTAAAAAGGAAAGGGCTCACCGATTTGGGAATCGTCCTTGTGAGAACTTGACAGACGCCAAAGCCATTGATTCTGAGGAAGTATAAGCCGCTCCAACAGCCTTCTGGAGCACAAGGACACATCCAAGAGGCAGTAGCTGGATTCCTTTTGCGTCATGCTAAGTCTAGGCGCCCTCGAGGTAAAACTGTGTCAACTGTACAAAGGCACCCATTCACTACCACAGAAGCCTCCGTGGATGAGAGTGACTCTAGACCCACCCAGAGGGACCGAAAGGTTACTCTTGCTATCACACATGCTGTCTACCGAAAGATGGTCCAGCATTCGAGTTAGGCCTGATGGATCATGGGTGGCGAGAAAGACATCTCGAGAAGCAGCCGATCCACAGAGACCCACAACTATGGTCATACATGGAACACATGAAATAAAAATCGGTACCTCAGGAGATAAGTGCATCTATAACTTCCAGAGTGTGCTCTGACACATTTTTAAACTATTTTCAACTCTGTTTATAGAGTCAGTAACAGAGAAGGGGAAAGTGCATTTCGGCGGACAAAAGTACATCACATTTCTTCCGGTCAATTGTTTAGCTTGAGTTGCAGACTTCTGTAGCACCTGGGTGAACTGCCACCACCAAAACTATGTTTGCATTCCTTTTGATTCTTCGTCACAGACTGGACGCCCGTCCACAACCTGGTGGCTGTTTCATATTATTGCCCTGAACACTGTTGTTATTAACATCATTAAGATGCGATAAACATTTGGTCGAAAAGCATTGCTCTGGCAGTGAATTCGCTGAGAAGTTACGTGCTGAGAATTCCATACCGTCATTCATGTTACTTGGGATAAGGCAATTATTGTTATTATTATTGTTATGAATTGGGGTGGTTATCAGTACGAGTGGAGCTGTGTGGGCCGACGTAGTAGTAGACGTAGGCTACAGCAACCTTCGCACCTGACAACCATAAGCTGAAGTAGATTATTGGGCACCATCTTAAGATCTCTGGAAGTCCTAACTACGGTGCTACAGATTTAGGATAAAGCCAAGAGCACCATCAACGGGAATGTTCGCTGCTATGAAAACAGATCTAGAACACTGCGACAACAACAAACAACAGCCACCCCCGTCCTCAGGTTGCCACCACCCTACACCAACACGCCGAGAGTCAGGCCGGCAACCTCCACCCGGCATCGATTGCACCACTCCTCCTGGGCCAGTTAAACAGGAACTGGCCAGCCAGTAAAAGCCCCCAACACATCCAAACTTGTGCTACTAGCTAACCCAGAGACATCTGACGTCACGAGAAGCACTTCCAAGTGTCGTTACAGTAACGCGAGAGAACTCCGAAGTAAAATATCAGGGCTCAGATCCCTCTCTTCACACCTTGTTCCGAAGTGTGACCCACCGTTTACGCTTATCTAGTTGGAATACAGAGCAGACTGAAGAAATCATCTGCTGTCATACCATTCCAACCCTGTTACCTCTACACTAGTTTTCTTCCCGCTCTAATCATTTAAGCCCTTTTCATCCCACCCACTCATTATGAATTAGCCTCACCTACCTAAGTTCTAGATATCTTTGTACCCCCCCCCCCATCCTACTTGGTCGCACGTAGATTACTCCATCAGTCCACTTTTCTTCGTCTTTTACTCACACACATTTGTCTTCCCAGGTTCTCTCCACTATCCCTAACGCCCTGACGATCAGTCCGGACAACTGTCTGGCAACTCGAAACCTGAAGAACCCAACTGCAACACAGTCTCAAGCAAACCAACTGACACTCAACCTCCTTTCCTGTATACCAGAGATATGGCAGACGAGTGGATGGATCTACTAAATCGGAAAGAAAGCACGAACAAGTCGACTGGCTTACACAAGCTCGTTAAACAGACACTGGATATTAGAAGAATCATGACCGAATCAAGTTGCCATGACTCTGGTCAACAACTGGAACTCCCTACCCCATCAGATAGTACCGACTTCTTCGGTGGACGCGTCCAAGCGGAAACTGTGTCCTCAAAGGATATCTACTGCAAGGATTAACGCAGAACAACCGGTCTACCATTCTCAACGCTGAACAATGGAATACTGCGGACTGAACCGATGGAACTTGTTTATCGAAAGTTGAACGTTGTTTATATTGACACGTTTGTTTGTCTGATTGTCACTCTACCGGTAGCCATTACATTCACTGGTCGACATGAAACGAGATAGTGCAGGCAACAACCAGGATGGTCCTCCATCAAAATTCCAGCGTTCCACTGTTGATTTGACAAATGTTGCCATCAGATTTCTCATTCCTGGAAGAGCTGCAGGGATTATGATCGGAAAGGGTGGGGAGAATATCAAAAAAATCCGGTCACAGGTTTGTTTTTGCACAATTCATTTAGTGACTCGCCCAACCGTCGTTTTGGCACCAACTGACTTGATTCTTTGTTTTATGTTCTTTACGGTTCCTCCACCTCATGGACACTGACTCGCTGAACTTGGTCGCTCTCCACTGATAACCCAATGGTTTGGGTTGGTCCCACTTGCCTGCCTTATTCACGAACTGATGACTGGCTCACTGAAACCGGCCCTGCTTTACTCATTCTTTGTCTCAGTATAACGTCAAGCTGAATATTCCCGACAGCAGAGGCCCAGAACGGTAGGGTAACATGGAAACTTAATGTCACCTTGATGTCTATTCGGTCGATTAATTAGTTTGCCTAAATTATAATTTTTATGTTTTTGGTTCATTAATGTATGTTTTCGAAGTCAGTTTTCGATTTGATTTACGGAGTTATATTCCTGGTTGTGTTTGGTTACGAGTTTAACCACAAGTTACAGCCGTCACTGGAAACCCCAGTGGCACTATCATACAGTATGTTGTGTTATGTAAATCGATGACGACCCTCAGAAGGTTGTCTGGTTCTCCAAACCCTCCACGGTACTGCCACTAAATGGAAGGGTGTCATGAGTTCTGTTAGCTGCTTTGTGATTTTTACTTTTTCCTTCTTTCCCGCTCTAACTTCTTATCTCTCTGACAGGATAATGACTATTGAAGGTGACCTGCAGGCTATCTGCAGTATTATGCGAGATGTTTGCCCAAAACTCAAGGTAGGTTGATTTTTTATTAAGACTGACTTTGAAGGACATAATGAATGCCAAGCTTTCCGATCCGAAACGCATAATGGGGGCACAGGGTATCCGACGCCGTGGTCGGCGTAATGAGGACCCTGAACGAGACGAAGATGAGGATGAGAACATGATCGACTTCAGAATCTTGGTACACGAGAGTCAAGCAGGGTCTGTTATTGGACGTGGTGGGGAACGTATCAAGGACCTTCGTGATGTAAGTCCTCTAATACATTTTCTAATAAAATTCAGAAATACAAAATGCGTGTTATCAAGGTCTACCAAATGCTGGCCCCCTTATCAACTGATCGAGTGGTGCAGATGGTCGCGGATCCCGACAATGTTGTCCAGTGTCTGAGAGCTGTGATCGAAGCAGTGGAGGTAAGAGTGGACAGGTTTCTCCCGATTTCCTTGCAAGTAATTTCCAAGGGTTGCCACACCGTGTTATTTCAACGGTTGGTGTACTACTGATGCACAACTAGTTACTAGTCAAGTGGTGTGATTGGCTTACAAGATGGTAGGGCGGCTGCATAAACCTGCAAAACAATACAGGGTTGTGCTTTTTGAGCCTACTGTGGTGCGACACGCTTTCACAGGTTTTATAAGCGTCTACAGTTTGTATGCTCATTAGAGCGGGAATCCTGAGGTCTCTAGTCCACGCATATGCGAATGTCTCCAGGTGGACACAATGTCCTCGTATTTAGACAGTGCAGAGACGTGCCAGCGGAGGACATTTTCCCGAAGACACTCATGGCACGGCTCCATGAAGAGAAGTCATCGGGAAGAAAACTAACTGCTGCTACGTCTTTGTCGCTTGTTTAGTCCTGTAAATTGTGCACTGCTGATTCATGTTTTGAACTTCTTTTCAGTCTGCTCCTCCTCGTGGTCGCCGTGAGGATTATGACGCTGCCAACTTCAGCGAAGGTGATGCTCTCAACTATGGAGGTTGGTTGTCTCGAGAAGCCGCTGCAGCATTAGCACAAGGAATGCCACTCCGTGGCCCCGGAGGCATGCCACCAATGGGCTACAACATGGGAGGTCCATACATGATGGGTGGTGGCGACATGGGTCCTATGGGAGGCGGCATGGGGCCCATTGGAGGAGGAATGGGACCAGGTGGTGGTATGGGTCCTATGGGCGGCGGTCCAGTTCACGGAGGTCGCGGGCGGGGCTCCCGCTCAGGAGGGGGAATGATGGGTGGAAATGTGCCACCTCCACAGAGTCAGAGAGGGATGATGGGATCGTCGGGTCCAGCCCCAGTACCTCCCCCAGGCGGTCGCAACAGCTCTATGGGTCCCCCGGGCAGTTACGGCGGTGCCGCAGATGGAGGCTATGGTGGTCCCGGTGGATATGATGGACCTGGTGGATTTGACAACGGTGGATACGGCGGTATGGACCCTGTTGGACAGGGTGGTTTCGGTGGTCCTGGTTATGGTGGATCAGGCAACATGTCTTCCAGTGGATACGGCGGGTCAGGATATGGCGGTAGCGCACGTGGGGCTAGTGATATGCCTGGCGGTCAAAGGTGAGTCAATTTTTAAACGCGTATCTCATCTTAACGCAGTTTGCTAAGCTCCTCCGTGGATGCCTGTTGGAGCTCGAGTAACGGCGCCTGGCCCTCAACCAGGGGTCTTCGCCCGGTCAGCTGGGTCCCGTGAGCAGTTTGAAACTGAAAGCATGGTGTTCTGCATGCTTGACCCATTACAGAGGTACATTCCGTCTCGGTGCTTATCTTATAAGTGTCAAATGACGTCCACCCTGCAGCACCGCTGAAGTGAGAGTGTTTTCAGGAAAAGCTTTGTCTCGGAGTGATGACACTTATCAATGTAGAACTTCCTGACAGCTTAATACTGTTTGGCGTTGACAAGAGCAACTTAGGGAGTGCCAAATGGTGGCATACTGCATTGGTGTAGTCGGACTGACAAGGCCTGTGTTTTTTATTTTCCGGTCTGTATGGCTTTCACTAATGTGGCACTTTCTTTTCCCTCGTAGCGCTCCTTCCCGTGGTGGCACCTATGGTGGTTATGGCGGTATGGGCTCCGGAGAGCATGTTGGAGGCAAAGCTAATCAGTGGTATGGCGGATGGTCCTGAATACTTATTTGCATTTAACTTCAATGACAATATACTTGTTAATAAATAACCTCACCACAAATTCATGTTAGTTTTTGCTGACCAGACTGCGATGTGTTTGCGTGAGTAGGGCTTGGATTGCCTTGAGTGGCGCTCCATGCACATCCCCTGATGTGTTATGGATTATTCCATCGACTTCCAAAATCGATAACGTTTCGAGAACGCAAGTATGCAAGGATGTCTATGAGGCTGGGGAAGTGGTCAGCTTACGGACAGCATTACTTATCTGATCCCGAATTTCAACGACAGGGTGGTCATAAACATCTTTTCCAGCTTAGGGGCGGGCTGTCGCTTTTCATATCTGTGTTGGGGTGTAAGGTTCTCCGCTTATTCGCCTGCAGATGCTAGCGCTGATGAGGCGGGTGGTCACAGCGCACTTCTTCAGATGGCCTACCTGCTGCTTCGTGAGTCCCTTACGTTGCAGCCATTTTGCTCGTCTAGTGGGGTGTTCGCGCATGTTTCTTGGTGTGCGAAGCAGTTTCTTGCTTCCTCCCAATATTCCATGTAGTGTTGAAGTGACGCCTGGGTCGTCGCGGTTTTATTCCGCCTGACATTCGTTCTTATAGCTCGCCTGCAGGTCCCTCCGAAAGGTCGGTGGATTTGGCGTTGATGCTTACTGACTGATGAAAAGAACAGTTCAGTGCAGTCCACATTTGCAAGACTTGACGGCATGGAATTGAGCAAGACATCTTGTTCTTTGGCTAGGTTGAGATGGATGGCTTAGTCGCTATCTTCAACAGTAGTCAGGTTGTTCCGGGCAGTTTGGCTGGTGGCTAGTGAGCGCCCGAGTAGCATATTCAACGAGATTTTCCAAGTACCCTGGGATGCTTCAGGCAACGACACTAACGTGGTGAGTGGATTTTGGCATAATTTCGAAGTTTTAAGAAACAAGATTTTTCTGAGCGTTCTGTTGTACAAGCCACAGCAACGCTGTCGGTCTACAATTACTTGGATTATTTCATCTCTCCCATTGAAGATTGGTGAGACACTAGTTCGCTTCCGTTCTTTCAGCGAACACGTAAGCACATCCCAAACGAGCATACTTGGCGTCTCTCGGCAGTACCATGGGACAGCCAGATTTCTCTTGTCTGTAGACACAGTTTGCAAACACTTGGTCGGTCGAAATGCTGGTGCCGGCGACTCCAGAATCACAATGAGTTAGCTGTGCTACGTGAATGGACGTCGTTGGTGGACATGGCATGGCGCCGGGCTACTTTTCCAATCATATACTCAACAGTCCCACTGTCGTCAAGCCAATGAGGAATACCCCGTGGGGTCCAGTGACAGGTTTTTCGTCTTCACTTGTGGCTTTGTGCTGAGGCGAAATATTGTTGCGGTTTTGGATCACAGTCTAGTACTCTGTCCACATTGTCCAGGGATATGAAGTAACCGTTGCGAACCCAGGTTTGGCGTAGGTTGTGACCTCTCGTAGCCGGGGGAGTTCTGTCCTTTGTTGGATGCACGGCGCTTGAACCAGGAGTTCTTTTATCCGACAGAGCTGCGTCAGTTAGGTATTATCGGCTGATCGGTGGCGTTGTGTAGAAACTATTGGGCGTGGTTGACTAACGAATACATCGCACAAAACTGTATCTTTACCCAGTCCTACTGGATATGGTTGTAGCTTCGGCGTTTATGACGATAACCCATGGTTCAGCTGGAGATCATTCTGGCACCTTCGATACGGTTTATCGAAGCTATTCGAGACACGGAGGTATTTTATTCAGATATGTGGCATATATTTGACTTTAATTTGGAAATGTAGTCAAGTTGTCGCGACTCATGCGGCGGTGTTTATGAGATGCTGAGCGGATAGGGGAGGTTGGCGATTCGTGGTCAGCGAAAAATTTGGAGTCACGACCTTCAGCCAAATGTCAAAAATGGCGTACAGAACAGTGCATAGCTATGAGCCCCCCACCGAATGCATTATATCATGTTTCCGCCTCCCGCAGCCACCTACAGAAAAGGGCTACAGGCTGCCACTGGTTGTCAGCCAACTGCCGCGAAACTGCTCCGAACGCTGAGTCAGATGCATTAGCAGCAATATTCAAAGGGGCATTGGGATCGTGATGCATATGCATGGTTGTGTTCGAGATGGCTTCCTTGACCTTAGCTAAAGCAAGCCCAGCCACGTTGTCCAGGGTCACGAACTAGGTAGTCCCTCGAAGTTGATCTATGAGTGGTCTCACAACAGGGGTATAGTTGGGAATAGATCCTCGGTAACAACTCACCGGGCCACTGAAAGTGCGTAGCTTCTTCACAGTGGTCGATTCTGAATAGTTCATGATAGCCACCACTTTATCTCTCAACGGGCGTATACCTTCGTTGTCAGCAGCATGCTCAAGAAAGTTCAGTGATTCAACTCATTTTCACACTTGTGTACGTTGGCCGTGATGCCGTGCTTTCTCAGTCTGCTGAATGCGAGGCCCGAATGTTTAAGGTGAGTTTCCTTATCTGAACTCGCAATGAGACAGTCGTTGGTGTAGACATGGACAAAATCCAAACCACGGAAGACATCATCCATAAAACGTTGGAACGCTTGTGCTGCATTCCGAAGGCAAAAAGGCATGCGCAAGAATTCAAACAAGCCAAAAGGAGTGACAATGGCTGTTTCCGTAATATCTTCTGCTACCGTATGTATCTGATTGCACACTGACCAAACTGACTCCGGGGGGGCATGTTCATTCTGCATAATTTCGACGTCAAATAGTGGATATGAGGTGGCGAATAGCAATCTTATATTGCTTTCTCATTAAGCCTGCGGTAATCGCCTGCCTGTAACCACTCGTTGTTATCCGTTTTGGGGACCATGTGCAGTGGTGATGCCCAGAGACTGTTTGGCGGTTTGGTAATGCCTAGCTGGGACATGTGGTTGAATTCGATTTCCTCCGTTCTGAGCTTATCGGAAGCTGGACGACGGGCTTTAAATGCCACAGGTAGGCCTGTGGTTGTGGTGTGATGAATAACATTGCTGGTTATGCACGGCAGTGTCGATTGTCTTAACTCTAGAGATTTTTATAAAACTCCATGGTATGATGCGTGGCCTCAGTGTTTAGTCCCAACTATGGCTAAAACTGGACCTAAGTAGGTGGTGCCGCCGACGGAAAACTTCGTGTCGTTATCTGTAAGTCGTTTTCTACGAGCATCTACGGGTAGACCTTAATGGCCCGGCAAATCTCTGCCAACTATGGGCATAGAAGCACCAACCAGAAGAAAAATTTAGTAGATAGGTTGGCGCAAACCTAAGTTGAGGTAAGCATACCGCCTCCCAAATGCCGCTATCGCCTTGCCGTTAGCTGCTTGAAGATTGAAGGATGGGTCATGACGACGCTACTCGAAAAAGGCCGTTGCCGAACGCCCGTGGGTCTATAACTTCTCGCATGCGTGCGAGCACATCAGTAACTGATTGGTTCCCTAGGCCGATGATACGACGCAAGTCGTCCAAGCGCCGACTATCTGTGAGATCGCCTTTCCTCAGAAGTGCAGCCTTAAGAAGTGCACAGGGATCACCTACTTCATGAATAAAAAGTATGCGCTGTAATGAGTCTGCTTAATTCTCGTGGTGATTAGCTTATGATAGTAAGAATCCGCAAATGCGGATCTGTGGCCCCCTGTTCCCGAAAATCTGTCTTGTCACACAGAAAACATGTTTCTGCATTTCCTGACCAATGTGGCACCAGCTGGAAGTGTTCATTCCTGGTTTAATGCAGATAAGTTCCGGAATATTGTCGGACATAGAATAGAGTCATATACGGTTATATAAAGGTCATCAAAATGAAAACGTACAAGTGTAAAAAGGAAAGGGCTCACCGATTTGGGAATCGTCCTTGTGAGAACTTGACAGACGCCAAAGCCATTGATTCTGAGGAAGTATAAGCCGCTCCAACAGCCTTCTGGAGCACAAGGACACATCCAAGAGGCAGTAGCTGGATTCCTTTTGCGTCATGCTAAGTCTAGGCGCCCTCGAGGTAAAACTGTGTCAACTGTACAAAGGCACCCATTCACTACCACAGAAGCCTCCGTGGATGAGAGTGACTCTAGACCCACCCAGAGGGACCGAAAGGTTACTCTTGCTATCACACATGCTGTCTACCGAAAGATGGTCCAGCATTCGAGTTAGGCCTGATGGATCATGGGTGGCGAGAAAGACATCTCGAGAAGCAGCCGATCCACAGAGACCCACAACTATGGTCATACATGGAACACATGAAATAAAAATCGGTACCTCAGGAGATAAGTGCATCTATAACTTCCAGAGTGTGCTCTGACACATTTTTAAACTATTTTCAACTCTGTTTATAGAGTCAGTAACAGAGAAGGGGAAAGTGCATTTCGGCGGACAAAAGTACATCACATTTCTTCCGGTCAATTGTTTAGCTTGAGTTGCAGACTTCTGTAGCACCTGGGTGAACTGCCACCACCAAAACTATGTTTGCATTCCTTTTGATTCTTCGTCACAGACTGGACGCCCGTCCACAACCTGGTGGCTGTTTCATATTATTGCCCTGAACACTGTTGTTATTAACATCATTAAGATGCGATAAACATTTGGTCGAAAAGCATTGCTCTGGCAGTGAATTCGCTGAGAAGTTACGTGCTGAGAATTCCATACCGTCATTCATGTTACTTGGGATAAGGCAATTATTGTTATTATTATTGTTATGAATTGGGGTGGTTATCAGTACGAGTGGAGCTGTGTGGGCCGACGTAGTAGTAGACGTAGGCTACAGCAACCTTCGCACCTGACAACCATAAGCTGAAGTAGATTATTGGGCACCATCTTAAGATCTCTGGAAGTCCTAACTACGGTGCTACAGATTTAGGATAAAGCCAAGAGCACCATCAACGGGAATGTTCGCTGCTATGAAAACAGATCTAGAACACTGCGACAACAACAAACAACAGCCACCCCCGTCCTCAGGTTGCCACCACCCTACACCAACACGCCGAGAGTCAGGCCGGCAACCTCCACCCGGCATCGATTGCACCACTCCTCCTGGGCCAGTTAAACAGGAACTGGCCAGCCAGTAAAAGCCCCCAACACATCCAAACTTGTGCTACTAGCTAACCCAGAGACATCTGACGTCACGAGAAGCACTTCCAAGTGTCGTTACAGTAACGCGAGAGAACTCCGAAGTAAAATATCAGGGCTCAGATCCCTCTCTTCACACCTTGTTCCGAAGTGTGACCCACCGTTTACGCTTATCTAGTTGGAATACAGAGCAGACTGAAGAAATCATCTGCTGTCATACCATTCCAACCCTGTTACCTCTACACTAGTTTTCTTCCCGCTCTAATCATTTAAGCCCTTTTCATCCCACCCACTCATTATGAATTAGCCTCACCTACCTAAGTTCTAGATATCTTTGTACCCCCCCCCCCATCCTACTTGGTCGCACGTAGATTACTCCATCAGTCCACTTTTCTTCGTCTTTTACTCACACACATTTGTCTTCCCAGGTTCTCTCCACTATCCCTAACGCCCTGACGATCAGTCCGGACAACTGTCTGGCAACTCGAAACCTGAAGAACCCAACTGCAACACAGTCTCAAGCAAACCAACTGACACTCAACCTCCTTTCCTGTATACCAGAGATATGGCAGACGAGTGGATGGATCTACTAAATCGGAAAGAAAGCACGAACAAGTCGACTGGCTTACACAAGCTCGTTAAACAGACACTGGATATTAGAAGAATCATGACCGAATCAAGTTGCCATGACTCTGGTCAACAACTGGAACTCCCTACCCCATCAGATAGTACCGACTTCTTCGGTGGACGCGTCCAAGCGGAAACTGTGTCCTCAAAGGATATCTACTGCAAGGATTAACGCAGAACAACCGGTCTACCATTCTCAACGCTGAACAATGGAATACTGCGGACTGAACCGATGGAACTTGTTTATCGAAAGTTGAACGTTGTTTATATTGACACGTTTGTTTGTCTGATTGTCACTCTACCGGTAGCCATTACATTCACTGGTCGACATGAAACGAGATAGTGCAGGCAACAACCAGGATGGTCCTCCATCAAAATTCCAGCGTTCCACTGTTGATTTGACAAATGTTGCCATCAGATTTCTCATTCCTGGAAGAGCTGCAGGGATTATGATCGGAAAGGGTGGGGAGAATATCAAAAAAATCCGGTCACAGGTTTGTTTTTGCACAATTCATTTAGTGACTCGCCCAACCGTCGTTTTGGCACCAACTGACTTGATTCTTTGTTTTATGTTCTTTACGGTTCCTCCACCTCATGGACACTGACTCGCTGAACTTGGTCGCTCTCCACTGATAACCCAATGGTTTGGGTTGGTCCCACTTGCCTGCCTTATTCACGAACTGATGACTGGCTCACTGAAACCGGCCCTGCTTTACTCATTCTTTGTCTCAGTATAACGTCAAGCTGAATATTCCCGACAGCAGAGGCCCAGAACGGTAGGGTAACATGGAAACTTAATGTCACCTTGATGTCTATTCGGTCGATTAATTAGTTTGCCTAAATTATAATTTTTATGTTTTTGGTTCATTAATGTATGTTTTCGAAGTCAGTTTTCGATTTGATTTACGGAGTTATATTCCTGGTTGTGTTTGGTTACGAGTTTAACCACAAGTTACAGCCGTCACTGGAAACCCCAGTGGCACTATCATACAGTATGTTGTGTTATGTAAATCGATGACGACCCTCAGAAGGTTGTCTGGTTCTCCAAACCCTCCACGGTACTGCCACTAAATGGAAGGGTGTCATGAGTTCTGTTAGCTGCTTTGTGATTTTTACTTTTTCCTTCTTTCCCGCTCTAACTTCTTATCTCTCTGACAGGATAATGACTATTGAAGGTGACCTGCAGGCTATCTGCAGTATTATGCGAGATGTTTGCCCAAAACTCAAGGTAGGTTGATTTTTTATTAAGACTGACTTTGAAGGACATAATGAATGCCAAGCTTTCCGATCCGAAACGCATAATGGGGGCACAGGGTATCCGACGCCGTGGTCGGCGTAATGAGGACCCTGAACGAGACGAAGATGAGGATGAGAACATGATCGACTTCAGAATCTTGGTACACGAGAGTCAAGCAGGGTCTGTTATTGGACGTGGTGGGGAACGTATCAAGGACCTTCGTGATGTAAGTCCTCTAATACATTTTCTAATAAAATTCAGAAATACAAAATGCGTGTTATCAAGGTCTACCAAATGCTGGCCCCCTTATCAACTGATCGAGTGGTGCAGATGGTCGCGGATCCCGACAATGTTGTCCAGTGTCTGAGAGCTGTGATCGAAGCAGTGGAGGTAAGAGTGGACAGGTTTCTCCCGATTTCCTTGCAAGTAATTTCCAAGGGTTGCCACACCGTGTTATTTCAACGGTTGGTGTACTACTGATGCACAACTAGTTACTAGTCAAGTGGTGTGATTGGCTTACAAGATGGTAGGGCGGCTGCATAAACCTGCAAAACAATACAGGGTTGTGCTTTTTGAGCCTACTGTGGTGCGACACGCTTTCACAGGTTTTATAAGCGTCTACAGTTTGTATGCTCATTAGAGCGGGAATCCTGAGGTCTCTAGTCCACGCATATGCGAATGTCTCCAGGTGGACACAATGTCCTCGTATTTAGACAGTGCAGAGACGTGCCAGCGGAGGACATTTTCCCGAAGACACTCATGGCACGGCTCCATGAAGAGAAGTCATCGGGAAGAAAACTAACTGCTGCTACGTCTTTGTCGCTTGTTTAGTCCTGTAAATTGTGCACTGCTGATTCATGTTTTGAACTTCTTTTCAGTCTGCTCCTCCTCGTGGTCGCCGTGAGGATTATGACGCTGCCAACTTCAGCGAAGGTGATGCTCTCAACTATGGAGGTTGGTTGTCTCGAGAAGCCGCTGCAGCATTAGCACAAGGAATGCCACTCCGTGGCCCCGGAGGCATGCCACCAATGGGCTACAACATGGGAGGTCCATACATGATGGGTGGTGGCGACATGGGTCCTATGGGAGGCGGCATGGGGCCCATTGGAGGAGGAATGGGACCAGGTGGTGGTATGGGTCCTATGGGCGGCGGTCCAGTTCACGGAGGTCGCGGGCGGGGCTCCCGCTCAGGAGGGGGAATGATGGGTGGAAATGTGCCACCTCCACAGAGTCAGAGAGGGATGATGGGATCGTCGGGTCCAGCCCCAGTACCTCCCCCAGGCGGTCGCAACAGCTCTATGGGTCCCCCGGGCAGTTACGGCGGTGCCGCAGATGGAGGCTATGGTGGTCCCGGTGGATATGATGGACCTGGTGGATTTGACAACGGTGGATACGGCGGTATGGACCCTGTTGGACAGGGTGGTTTCGGTGGTCCTGGTTATGGTGGATCAGGCAACATGTCTTCCAGTGGATACGGCGGGTCAGGATATGGCGGTAGCGCACGTGGGGCTAGTGATATGCCTGGCGGTCAAAGGTGAGTCAATTTTTAAACGCGTATCTCATCTTAACGCAGTTTGCTAAGCTCCTCCGTGGATGCCTGTTGGAGCTCGAGTAACGGCGCCTGGCCCTCAACCAGGGGTCTTCGCCCGGTCAGCTGGGTCCCGTGAGCAGTTTGAAACTGAAAGCATGGTGTTCTGCATGCTTGACCCATTACAGAGGTACATTCCGTCTCGGTGCTTATCTTATAAGTGTCAAATGACGTCCACCCTGCAGCACCGCTGAAGTGAGAGTGTTTTCAGGAAAAGCTTTGTCTCGGAGTGATGACACTTATCAATGTAGAACTTCCTGACAGCTTAATACTGTTTGGCGTTGACAAGAGCAACTTAGGGAGTGCCAAATGGTGGCATACTGCATTGGTGTAGTCGGACTGACAAGGCCTGTGTTTTTTATTTTCCGGTCTGTATGGCTTTCACTAATGTGGCACTTTCTTTTCCCTCGTAGCGCTCCTTCCCGTGGTGGCACCTATGGTGGTTATGGCGGTATGGGCTCCGGAGAGCATGTTGGAGGCAAAGCTAATCAGTGGTATGGCGGATGGTCCTGAATACTTATTTGCATTTAACTTCAATGACAATATACTTGTTAATAAATAACCTCACCACAAATTCATGTTAGTTTTTGCTGACCAGACTGCGATGTGTTTGCGTGAGTAGGGCTTGGATTGCCTTGAGTGGCGCTCCATGCACATCCCCTGATGTGTTATGGATTATTCCATCGACTTCCAAAATCGATAACGTTTCGAGAACGCAAGTATGCAAGGATGTCTATGAGGCTGGGGAAGTGGTCAGCTTACGGACAGCATTACTTATCTGATCCCGAATTTCAACGACAGGGTGGTCATAAACATCTTTTCCAGCTTAGGGGCGGGCTGTCGCTTTTCATATCTGTGTTGGGGTGTAAGGTTCTCCGCTTATTCGCCTGCAGATGCTAGCGCTGATGAGGCGGGTGGTCACAGCGCACTTCTTCAGATGGCCTACCTGCTGCTTCGTGAGTCCCTTACGTTGCAGCCATTTTGCTCGTCTAGTGGGGTGTTCGCGCATGTTTCTTGGTGTGCGAAGCAGTTTCTTGCTTCCTCCCAATATTCCATGTAGTGTTGAAGTGACGCCTGGGTCGTCGCGGTTTTATTCCGCCTGACATTCGTTCTTATAGCTCGCCTGCAGGTCCCTCCGAAAGGTCGGTGGATTTGGCGTTGATGCTTACTGACTGATGAAAAGAACAGTTCAGTGCAGTCCACATTTGCAAGACTTGACGGCATGGAATTGAGCAAGACATCTTGTTCTTTGGCTAGGTTGAGATGGATGGCTTAGTCGCTATCTTCAACAGTAGTCAGGTTGTTCCGGGCAGTTTGGCTGGTGGCTAGTGAGCGCCCGAGTAGCATATTCAACGAGATTTTCCAAGTACCCTGGGATGCTTCAGGCAACGACACTAACGTGGTGAGTGGATTTTGGCATAATTTCGAAGTTTTAAGAAACAAGATTTTTCTGAGCGTTCTGTTGTACAAGCCACAGCAACGCTGTCGGTCTACAATTACTTGGATTATTTCATCTCTCCCATTGAAGATTGGTGAGACACTAGTTCGCTTCCGTTCTTTCAGCGAACACGTAAGCACATCCCAAACGAGCATACTTGGCGTCTCTCGGCAGTACCATGGGACAGCCAGATTTCTCTTGTCTGTAGACACAGTTTGCAAACACTTGGTCGGTCGAAATGCTGGTGCCGGCGACTCCAGAATCACAATGAGTTAGCTGTGCTACGTGAATGAACGTCGTTGGTGGACATGGCATGGCGCCGGGCTACTTTTCCAATCATATACTCAACAGTCCCACTGTCGTCAAGCCAATGAGGAATACCCCGTGGGGTCCAGTGACAGGTTTTTCGTCTTCACTTGTGGCTTTGTGCTGAGGCGAAATATTGTTGCGGTTTTGGATCACAGTCTAGTACTCTGTCCACATTGTCCAGGGATATGAAGTAACCGTTGCGAACCCAGGTTTGGCGTAGGTTGTGACCTCTCGTAGCCGGGGGAGTTCTGTCCTTTGTTGGATGCACGGCGCTTGAACCAGGAGTTCTTTTATCCGACAGAGCTGCGTCAGTTAGGTATTATCGGCTGATCGGTGGCGTTGTGTAGAAACTATTGGGCGTGGTTGACTAACGAATACATCGCACAAAACTGTATCTTTACCCAGTCCTACTGGATATGGTTGTAGCTTCGGCGTTTATGACGATAACCCATGGTTCAGCTGGAGATCATTCTGGCACCTTCGATACGGTTTATCGAAGCTATTCGAGACACGGAGGTATTTTATTCAGATATGTGGCATATATTTGACTTTAATTTGGAAATGTAGTCAAGTTGTCGCGACTCATGCGGCGGTGTTTATGAGATGCTGAGCGGATAGGGGAGGTTGGCGATTCGTGGTCAGCGAAAAATTTGGAGTCACGACCTTCAGCCAAATGTCAAAAATGGCGTACAGAACAGTGCATAGCTATGAGCCCCCCACCGAATGCATTATATCATGTTTCCGCCTCCCGCAGCCACCTACAGAAAAGGGCTACAGGCTGCCACTGGTTGTCAGCCAACTGCCGCGAAACTGCTCCGAACGCTGAGTCAGATGCATTAGCAGCAATATTCAAAGGGGCATTGGGATCGTGATGCATATGCATGGTTGTGTTCGAGATGGCTTCCTTGACCTTAGCTAAAGCAAGCCCAGCCACGTTGTCCAGGGTCACGAACTAGGTAGTCCCTCGAAGTTGATCTATGAGTGGTCTCACAACAGGGGTATAGTTGGGAATAGATCCTCGGTAACAACTCACCGGGCCACTGAAAGTGCGTAGCTTCTTCACAGTGGTCGATTCTGAATAGTTCATGATAGCCACCACTTTATCTCTCAACGGGCGTATACCTTCGTTGTCAGCAGCATGCTCAAGAAAGTTCAGTGATTCAACTCATTTTCACACTTGTGTACGTTGGCCGTGATGCCGTGCTTTCTCAGTCTGCTGAATGCGAGGCCCGAATGTTTAAGGTGAGTTTCCTTATCTGAACTCGCAATGAGACAGTCGTTGGTGTAGACATGGACAAAATCCAAACCACGGAAGACATCATCCATAAAACGTTGGAACGCTTGTGCTGCATTCCGAAGGCAAAAAGGCATGCGCAAGAATTCAAACAAGCCAAAAGGAGTGACAATGGCTGTTTCCGTAATATCTTCTGCTACCGTATGTATCTGATTGCACACTGACCAAACTGACTCCGGGGGGGCATGTTCATTCTGCATAATTTCGACGTCAAATAGTGGATATGAGGTGGCGAATAGCAATCTTATATTGCTTTCTCATTAAGCCTGCGGTAATCGCCTGCCTGTAACCACTCGTTGTTATCCGTTTTGGGGACCATGTGCAGTGGTGATGCCCAGAGACTGTTTGGCGGTTTGGTAATGCCTAGCTGGGACATGTGGTCGAATTCGATTTCCTCCGTTCTGAGCTTATCGGAAGCTGGACGACGGGCTTTAAATGCCACAGGTAGGCCTGTGGTTGTGGTGTGATGAATAACATTGCTGGTTATGCACGGCAGTGTCGATTGTCTTAACTCTAGAGATTTTTATAAAACTCCATGGTATGATGCGTGGCCTCAGTGTTTAGTCCCAACTATGGCTAAAACTGGACCTAAGTAGGTGGTGCCGCCGACGGAAAACTTCGTGTCGTTATCTGTAAGTCGTTTTCTACGAGCATCTACGGGTAGACCTTAATGGCCCGGCAAATCTCTGCCAACTATGGGCATAGAAGCACCAACCAGAAGAAAAATTTAGTAGATAGGTTGGCGCAAACCTAAGTTGAGGTAAGCATACCGCCTCCCAAATGCCGCTATCGCCTTGCCGTTAGCTGCTTGAAGATTGAAGGATGGGTCATGACGACGCTACTCGAAAAAGGCCGTTGCCGAACGCCCGTGGGTCTATAACTTCTCGCATGCGTGCGAGCACATCAGTAACTGATTGGTTCCCTAGGCCGATGATACGACGCAAGTCGTCCAAGCGCCGACTATCTGTGAGATCGCCTTTCCTCAGAAGTGCAGCCTTAAGAAGTGCACAGGGATCACCTACTTCATGAATAAAAAGTATGCGCTGTAATGAGTCTGCTTAATTCTCGTGGTGATTAGCTTATGATAGTAAGAATCCGCAAATGCGGATCTGTGGCCCCCTGTTCCCGAAAATCTGTCTTGTCACACAGAAAACATGTTTCTGCATTTCCTGACCAATGTGGCACCAGCTGGAAGTGTTCATTCCTGGTTTAATGCAGATAAGTTCCGGAATATTGTCGGACATAGAATAGAGTCATATACGGTTATATAAAGGTCATCAAAATGAAAACGTACAAGTGTAAAAAGGAAAGGGCTCACCGATTTGGGAATCGTCCTTGTGAGAACTTGACAGACGCCAAAGCCATTGATTCTGAGGAAGTATAAGCCGCTCCAACAGCCTTCTGGAGCACAAGGACACATCCAAGAGGCAGTAGCTGGATTCCTTTTGCGTCATGCTAAGTCTAGGCGCCCTCGAGGTAAAACTGTGTCAACTGTACAAAGGCACCCATTCACTACCACAGAAGCCTCCGTGGATGAGAGTGACTCTAGACCCACCCAGAGGGACCGAAAGGTTACTCTTGCTATCACACATGCTGTCTACCGAAAGATGGTCCAGCATTCGAGTTAGGCCTGATGGATCATGGGTGGCGAGAAAGACATCTCGAGAAGCAGCCGATCCACAGAGACCCACAACTATGGTCATACATGGAACACATGAAATAAAAATCGGTACCTCAGGAGATAAGTGCATCTATAACTTCCAGAGTGTGCTCTGACACATTTTTAAACTATTTTCAACTCTGTTTATAGAGTCAGTAACAGAGAAGGGGAAAGTGCATTTCGGCGGACAAAAGTACATCACATTTCTTCCGGTCAATTGTTTAGCTTGAGTTGCAGACTTCTGTAGCACCTGGGTGAACTGCCACCACCAAAACTATGTTTGCATTCCTTTTGATTCTTCGTCACAGACTGGACGCCCGTCCACAACCTGGTGGCTGTTTCATATTATTGCCCTGAACACTGTTGTTATTAACATCATTAAGATGCGATAAACATTTGGTCGAAAAGCATTGCTCTGGCAGTGAATTCGCTGAGAAGTTACGTGCTGAGAATTCCATACCGTCATTCATGTTACTTGGGATAAGGCAATTATTGTTATTATTATTGTTATGAATTGGGGTGGTTATCAGTACGAGTGGAGCTGTGTGGGCCGACGTAGTAGTAGACGTAGGCTACAGCAACCTTCGCACCTGACAACCATAAGCTGAAGTAGATTATTGGGCACCATCTTAAGATCTCTGGAAGTCCTAACTACGGTGCTACAGATTTAGGATAAAGCCAAGAGCACCATCAACGGGAATGTTCGCTGCTATGAAAACAGATCTAGAACACTGCGACAACAACAAACAACAGCCACCCCCGTCCTCAGGTTGCCACCACCCTACACCAACACGCCGAGAGTCAGGCCGGCAACCTCCACCCGGCATCGATTGCACCACTCCTCCTGGGCCAGTTAAACAGGAACTGGCCAGCCAGTAAAAGCCCCCAACACATCCAAACTTGTGCTACTAGCTAACCCAGAGACATCTGACGTCACGAGAAGCACTTCCAAGTGTCGTTACAGTAACGCGAGAGAACTCCGAAGTAAAATATCAGGGCTCAGATCCCTCTCTTCACACCTTGTTCCGAAGTGTGACCCACCGTTTACGCTTATCTAGTTGGAATACAGAGCAGACTGAAGAAATCATCTGCTGTCATACCATTCCAACCCTGTTACCTCTACACTAGTTTTCTTCCCGCTCTAATCATTTAAGCCCTTTTCATCCCACCCACTCATTATGAATTAGCCTCACCTACCTAAGTTCTAGATATCTTTGTACCCCCCCCCCCATCCTACTTGGTCGCACGTAGATTACTCCATCAGTCCACTTTTCTTCGTCTTTTACTCACACACATTTGTCTTCCCAGGTTCTCTCCACTATCCCTAACGCCCTGACGATCAGTCCGGACAACTGTCTGGCAACTCGAAACCTGAAGAACCCAACTGCAACACAGTCTCAAGCAAACCAACTGACACTCAACCTCCTTTCCTGTATACCAGAGATATGGCAGACGAGTGGATGGATCTACTAAATCGGAAAGAAAGCACGAACAAGTCGACTGGCTTACACAAGCTCGTTAAACAGACACTGGATATTAGAAGAATCATGACCGAATCAAGTTGCCATGACTCTGGTCAACAACTGGAACTCCCTACCCCATCAGATAGTACCGACTTCTTCGGTGGACGCGTCCAAGCGGAAACTGTGTCCTCAAAGGATATCTACTGCAAGGATTAACGCAGAACAACCGGTCTACCATTCTCAACGCTGAACAATGGAATACTGCGGACTGAACCGATGGAACTTGTTTATCGAAAGTTGAACGTTGTTTATATTGACACGTTTGTTTGTCTGATTGTCACTCTACCGGTAGCCATTACATTCACTGGTCGACATGAAACGAGATAGTGCAGGCAACAACCAGGATGGTCCTCCATCAAAATTCCAGCGTTCCACTGTTGATTTGACAAATGTTGCCATCAGATTTCTCATTCCTGGAAGAGCTGCAGGGATTATGATCGGAAAGGGTGGGGAGAATATCAAAAAAATCCGGTCACAGGTTTGTTTTTGCACAATTCATTTAGTGACTCGCCCAACCGTCGTTTTGGCACCAACTGACTTGATTCTTTGTTTTATGTTCTTTACGGTTCCTCCACCTCATGGACACTGACTCGCTGAACTTGGTCGCTCTCCACTGATAACCCAATGGTTTGGGTTGGTCCCACTTGCCTGCCTTATTCACGAACTGATGACTGGCTCACTGAAACCGGCCCTGCTTTACTCATTCTTTGTCTCAGTATAACGTCAAGCTGAATATTCCCGACAGCAGAGGCCCAGAACGGTAGGGTAACATGGAAACTTAATGTCACCTTGATGTCTATTCGGTCGATTAATTAGTTTGCCTAAATTATAATTTTTATGTTTTTGGTTCATTAATGTATGTTTTCGAAGTCAGTTTTCGATTTGATTTACGGAGTTATATTCCTGGTTGTGTTTGGTTACGAGTTTAACCACAAGTTACAGCCGTCACTGGAAACCCCAGTGGCACTATCATACAGTATGTTGTGTTATGTAAATCGATGACGACCCTCAGAAGGTTGTCTGGTTCTCCAAACCCTCCACGGTACTGCCACTAAATGGAAGGGTGTCATGAGTTCTGTTAGCTGCTTTGTGATTTTTACTTTTTCCTTCTTTCCCGCTCTAACTTCTTATCTCTCTGACAGGATAATGACTATTGAAGGTGACCTGCAGGCTATCTGCAGTATTATGCGAGATGTTTGCCCAAAACTCAAGGTAGGTTGATTTTTTATTAAGACTGACTTTGAAGGACATAATGAATGCCAAGCTTTCCGATCCGAAACGCATAATGGGGGCACAGGGTATCCGACGCCGTGGTCGGCGTAATGAGGACCCTGAACGAGACGAAGATGAGGATGAGAACATGATCGACTTCAGAATCTTGGTACACGAGAGTCAAGCAGGGTCTGTTATTGGACGTGGTGGGGAACGTATCAAGGACCTTCGTGATGTAAGTCCTCTAATACATTTTCTAATAAAATTCAGAAATACAAAATGCGTGTTATCAAGGTCTACCAAATGCTGGCCCCCTTATCAACTGATCGAGTGGTGCAGATGGTCGCGGATCCCGACAATGTTGTCCAGTGTCTGAGAGCTGTGATCGAAGCAGTGGAGGTAAGAGTGGACAGGTTTCTCCCGATTTCCTTGCAAGTAATTTCCAAGGGTTGCCACACCGTGTTATTTCAACGGTTGGTGTACTACTGATGCACAACTAGTTACTAGTCAAGTGGTGTGATTGGCTTACAAGATGGTAGGGCGGCTGCATAAACCTGCAAAACAATACAGGGTTGTGCTTTTTGAGCCTACTGTGGTGCGACACGCTTTCACAGGTTTTATAAGCGTCTACAGTTTGTATGCTCATTAGAGCGGGAATCCTGAGGTCTCTAGTCCACGCATATGCGAATGTCTCCAGGTGGACACAATGTCCTCGTATTTAGACAGTGCAGAGACGTGCCAGCGGAGGACATTTTCCCGAAGACACTCATGGCACGGCTCCATGAAGAGAAGTCATCGGGAAGAAAACTAACTGCTGCTACGTCTTTGTCGCTTGTTTAGTCCTGTAAATTGTGCACTGCTGATTCATGTTTTGAACTTCTTTTCAGTCTGCTCCTCCTCGTGGTCGCCGTGAGGATTATGACGCTGCCAACTTCAGCGAAGGTGATGCTCTCAACTATGGAGGTTGGTTGTCTCGAGAAGCCGCTGCAGCATTAGCACAAGGAATGCCACTCCGTGGCCCCGGAGGCATGCCACCAATGGGCTACAACATGGGAGGTCCATACATGATGGGTGGTGGCGACATGGGTCCTATGGGAGGCGGCATGGGGCCCATTGGAGGAGGAATGGGACCAGGTGGTGGTATGGGTCCTATGGGCGGCGGTCCAGTTCACGGAGGTCGCGGGCGGGGCTCCCGCTCAGGAGGGGGAATGATGGGTGGAAATGTGCCACCTCCACAGAGTCAGAGAGGGATGATGGGATCGTCGGGTCCAGCCCCAGTACCTCCCCCAGGCGGTCGCAACAGCTCTATGGGTCCCCCGGGCAGTTACGGCGGTGCCGCAGATGGAGGCTATGGTGGTCCCGGTGGATATGATGGACCTGGTGGATTTGACAACGGTGGATACGGCGGTATGGACCCTGTTGGACAGGGTGGTTTCGGTGGTCCTGGTTATGGTGGATCAGGCAACATGTCTTCCAGTGGATACGGCGGGTCAGGATATGGCGGTAGCGCACGTGGGGCTAGTGATATGCCTGGCGGTCAAAGGTGAGTCAATTTTTAAACGCGTATCTCATCTTAACGCAGTTTGCTAAGCTCCTCCGTGGATGCCTGTTGGAGCTCGAGTAACGGCGCCTGGCCCTCAACCAGGGGTCTTCGCCCGGTCAGCTGGGTCCCGTGAGCAGTTTGAAACTGAAAGCATGGTGTTCTGCATGCTTGACCCATTACAGAGGTACATTCCGTCTCGGTGCTTATCTTATAAGTGTCAAATGACGTCCACCCTGCAGCACCGCTGAAGTGAGAGTGTTTTCAGGAAAAGCTTTGTCTCGGAGTGATGACACTTATCAATGTAGAACTTCCTGACAGCTTAATACTGTTTGGCGTTGACAAGAGCAACTTAGGGAGTGCCAAATGGTGGCATACTGCATTGGTGTAGTCGGACTGACAAGGCCTGTGTTTTTTATTTTCCGGTCTGTATGGCTTTCACTAATGTGGCACTTTCTTTTCCCTCGTAGCGCTCCTTCCCGTGGTGGCACCTATGGTGGTTATGGCGGTATGGGCTCCGGAGAGCATGTTGGAGGCAAAGCTAATCAGTGGTATGGCGGATGGTCCTGAATACTTATTTGCATTTAACTTCAATGACAATATACTTGTTAATAAATAACCTCACCACAAATTCATGTTAGTTTTTGCTGACCAGACTGCGATGTGTTTGCGTGAGTAGGGCTTGGATTGCCTTGAGTGGCGCTCCATGCACATCCCCTGATGTGTTATGGATTATTCCATCGACTTCCAAAATCGATAACGTTTCGAGAACGCAAGTATGCAAGGATGTCTATGAGGCTGGGGAAGTGGTCAGCTTACGGACAGCATTACTTATCTGATCCCGAATTTCAACGACAGGGTGGTCATAAACATCTTTTCCAGCTTAGGGGCGGGCTGTCGCTTTTCATATCTGTGTTGGGGTGTAAGGTTCTCCGCTTATTCGCCTGCAGATGCTAGCGCTGATGAGGCGGGTGGTCACAGCGCACTTCTTCAGATGGCCTACCTGCTGCTTCGTGAGTCCCTTACGTTGCAGCCATTTTGCTCGTCTAGTGGGGTGTTCGCGCATGTTTCTTGGTGTGCGAAGCAGTTTCTTGCTTCCTCCCAATATTCCATGTAGTGTTGAAGTGACGCCTGGGTCGTCGCGGTTTTATTCCGCCTGACATTCGTTCTTATAGCTCGCCTGCAGGTCCCTCCGAAAGGTCGGTGGATTTGGCGTTGATGCTTACTGACTGATGAAAAGAACAGTTCAGTGCAGTCCACATTTGCAAGACTTGACGGCATGGAATTGAGCAAGACATCTTGTTCTTTGGCTAGGTTGAGATGGATGGCTTAGTCGCTATCTTCAACAGTAGTCAGGTTGTTCCGGGCAGTTTGGCTGGTGGCTAGTGAGCGCCCGAGTAGCATATTCAACGAGATTTTCCAAGTACCCTGGGATGCTTCAGGCAACGACACTAACGTGGTGAGTGGATTTTGGCATAATTTCGAAGTTTTAAGAAACAAGATTTTTCTGAGCGTTCTGTTGTACAAGCCACAGCAACGCTGTCGGTCTACAATTACTTGGATTATTTCATCTCTCCCATTGAAGATTGGTGAGACACTAGTTCGCTTCCGTTCTTTCAGCGAACACGTAAGCACATCCCAAACGAGCATACTTGGCGTCTCTCGGCAGTACCATGGGACAGCCAGATTTCTCTTGTCTGTAGACACAGTTTGCAAACACTTGGTCGGTCGAAATGCTGGTGCCGGCGACTCCAGAATCACAATGAGTTAGCTGTGCTACGTGAATGACGTCGTTGGTGGACATGGCATGGCGCCGGGCTACTTTTCCAATCATATACTCAACAGTCCCACTGTCGTCAAGCCAATGAGGAATACCCCGTGGGGTCCAGTGACAGGTTTTTCGTCTTCACTTGTGGCTTTGTGCTGAGGCGAAATATTGTTGCGGTTTTGGATCACAGTCTAGTACTCTGTCCACATTGTCCAGGGATATGAAGTAACCGTTGCGAACCCAGGTTTGGCGTAGGTTGTGACCTCTCGTAGCCGGGGGAGTTCTGTCCTTTGTTGGATGCACGGCGCTTGAACCAGGAGTTCTTTTATCCGACAGAGCTGCGTCAGTTAGGTATTATCGGCTGATCGGTGGCCATCTGCCTGCTTCTGGCGTACCGGTTTTCCATGTTTGATCAGCAAGCACTCGGTATTTTGGACCATTCTTGAGCTGTGGGCTTAGTGTACTGAATATGGTGTTCATTATAAGATCTACAGAGCTAGTCTACTGGATGATAATTCCTTCGTGTCCGGCATGATCTGGGGTGCTTTTGGGAAGTTGTCTCCTATCTTATATTCCAGCAGAACCGACACTGCTTCCTCGGCGTCAGGCCTCACCTCATATTTGTCCCTTCACACTGCCATGCCACCGGAGTCTCTGTGAGCTACCATTTAAGGTCAAGACGAAAAGCTAGCAGTCTGGATGTGGGGATCTGTTGAATCTGTCTCTGAAGTCCGACCGGGCTACCAGCTATTAAATTGTCCACGCCTGCACTCGATACCAGGAATTCCTACCGCTCAATATTGTAGAGGTAACGCCGAAGGTTCATGGGCCCTCCTGCAGCCTTGTCCAAACCATTGAAGGTGAAGTTTCTCTCAGTCCATTCGGTGGCTCGAGGCTTACCTGGTTTTGCCCTTGTGTTCCAAGAACTTTTGAAGTATGGTCCGAGTCAGAGCAGTCGCATGTCCTCAGTCTGTTTTGAGGGTGTCAATGATACTTTGAGAGGTGGTGGTTCACCTTGACAGGCTCCACTTTTCCGAGAGGTAGGATGATAACTACAGAGCACCAGAATGCACTACACCTCCAGTTTGTGCGGCTCGGGAGCGTTGGAGGGTGAACTATCTTGATGCATCATGCCACCCGCAATCAAAGTTATCCAAGGCGACCAATTCTGCGTATCTGTCTGAGATCTCATTTAAGATGACGTCTATTCAGGGTTGAAAGCTAAAGATCCTGTATGAAATTTCCTGTCAATAGTTTCCGAGAGGTTTTGACTGTGGCATTCTCTTCCTCAGGAGGTGATGGGGATTTCACAGTCGAACACCTTCAGACAGAGGTTCGATATCTATTCTAGGATTATTTTGACTGGTGTAGGGCATTCTAAGTGCAATCCTGCCTCGTACAGTCCTCATGGAATGGTCCTACTGATGAGCTGTCGATGGAATTCAGTTCCCCAGTGGGAGGTGGTCGGCGACAAGAACTCCAAAATAAAGATCCACGTCTGGTACCTAGGAAACAGAATATAAACCACTTCCAGTTTACCAGCTCCTATACGAAAATCTCAAGAATGGGACGACCAAGCTTTTTCCTTATCAGCTTTAAACACAAAGGAGACTAAAGGAGCGCCAATTGAATAACTTATTGTGTGCATTCACAAATTCTTCGCCACTTACCGATTGGTCCAGTGGGCTCATATCTATTTGGAAACCTATAGTGGGTAAAGTTCCTCAGGGAACGATTTTGGGTCCCCTCTCTTCTATGCTACGAGCTGAGGGATTACTGCAAATGCCTGACCCCTTTTTGTCCTCATAAGCCGACGGCGTAAAGTTCTGGAGGGTTGTACAGAGTGGTGCCGATAGGTATGAGTTCAAGCGAACATGGATGAACTGATAGGTTGGTCCAAACGTTGACATTTGGAAGTCAATTCTGACAAAAGTGTGATAATATTCATCGGTCATAGCAGTTGTCTCCAAAATCCCGTTAGCTATATAATGAAACTCTTGGTCTTAGACCCAGAAGACCTGTATGACACCTTGGGTTATGATCTAAAGACGCCCGTGCACCGCGCAGCGGCTGCAAGTGAAGCATTCCATG